ATGATCTCAGGAAAAAGTGCAGTAAAGAATTTCAGGCATACAATATGTCATATATTGGTCTTCTTTGCTCTGAAATACCTTTTTCCTAGCTGAATCTGAAAGTCTACATAGGCTACATTAGAGGCCATATGGCAAAGAAGAAATTTGAAACAAACAGTTGGGCAAACCAGCATCCTATTATACTCCACTGCTGAATTCATTAATTTGAAAGCTCTTATTCCAGATTATGTCTATTTCATATGTGGTAGTCATTGATATGCAAACAAATAAGGACACAGAGCTTTCTTTTCTCATGTGATTTTACACAGCACTTTCTTTTCTCATGTGATTTTACACTAAAACTAATTCTGTTAGAGAATACCTTGTTTTCCATTTTTGGGCCAGGCCTTGGTACCTTTGAGGTTTGGTGGCCCAGCTGGGGAGGGAGCAGCAGAATTGGGTTGTATGAGCGGTGGGCTGGTGGGCCCGTGTATGTGTGCACATAGCCCTTTTGTAAGTGGCAGGCCAACACACATGCACAGCTCTACTTGTGCAAGTGGTGGGTTAGTGTGCATATGCATGACTGCCTGCCAGCCTGCTGCTTGTGCAAGTCAAGCAATGCACGCATGCACATACCATGTCCAGTCACTTGCATGGCCCAACTCCAAATAGGCTACGGCCTGGTAATGGACCATGGCCTGTTGATTGAGGACCCCTGTCTTATACTGCAATGTTATGCCTAGAGAGCAACCTTGAAAGGCACTTCAAATAAGGTAGCCAGTATTAAGACAAATTAAGTCTAAATACAAAAATGTCTCAAGTAAAGGACAAAAAACTTTTTCAATATAGCAAATGGTTTGTTGATTCAGATTAGTGTTGAAAACTGGTTTCTCAAATCTATTCAATAAGTCAGTTTACTAAAAGCCATTTCTACGCATGGGCAGAAGGGTCTAAATCATCCAGATCAATTGGGAGCTGTGTGATTAGATTTGAGTTCCTCATCCAAGAAGATTTGACTTGACTTGTCTTCAAAGAGAATCTCTGAAAGGAATTTTTCCTCAGCCCTCATATTATGCAATTAGAGAGATAAGAATCTTAAAGCAAGATACATTCATTGATACGCTAAATGAAACAACTCTAAAGCAAGTGGGGCATAGATCATAGGTCATAATTTCAAAGGATGAATGGTAACATCAAAATCGGTCACATGTTAATGGATAGGCCTTTCAAATAAAGCTCTATTCATGTATTATGGAGATTTGTGAAAATAGCAACAAAACCACCATACCTTCTGTGCTGACATGCATAATAGTTCATTACTATTCTTTAATTAATACGCAGCCCTCTTAACTTCAGGTTTCACTTCAGGCTCTATTTGATAGGAAGTAGCCAGAAATACTTACTCACAAAAGTGAGCAGCTTTCTCTTTCTTACTGCAGATATAAAACAAGGCTTTTCAGATAAAATTTTGGGTAACCAAATTGGACTAAATGAGCCAACAGAAGAACTGAAGTCATGACCTGGGATGGAAAATAATAAAGAGAATATTTGAAAAGGTCAGATGAGGTTAATAGAATAGCCATATCATCAGTAGATAATTGGGTAGAAGATTTAATTCTTAACCCATGCCTATATGCTTAGAGGGAAATTCTGTTTTGCTTAGTCAAGTACCTTCTAAGATAACTGAATGTACCATGGAATCAAACGTAATTTTTAAAACAGCAGAAACATTGTTTAAATCCGTCTGAAACTAGCTCTTATCCATTGGAGAGGACCTCAGTCAGACAGCAAGAAATATAAAAAGATTCTGGGGAAAATAAGTTTGAACTTATTCTTTCCCTTGAAATTTGTCTATGGGTCTGTCTGTCCATCTGTCTACCTATTTATGTTGGCTACAATTTGTCCTATATATTTATTTGAGGATTGAAACAAACTATAGTTATATTTGCATCACATGATATCTTTAAAAAGATTGTGAGTGATAACAACATACTCAATTTTGCACAAGTACTGGGAAATTTGTCAAACTATTAATTCCTCAATCCAATAGCAAACTGCAAGCCATGAAAAAGAAAAAGAAAAAGAAAGGAAAAAAAGAAACCAAAGAAATCTGGGTTAATTCATACAGTATAGACACATTTTATGACATCTATGCTAAGGGAAAATGTCGGAATTTGTTTTCAGCACCCACACTACACAATGCCCTCAGATGTTCCACACAAACACCTGCTATTGGTAACTGAAGCCTATTTCTTAACTTTATAATTAAGCCATTTTTCTGATCAACTGCAAATCTTAAGAATTTAGTAATAGATTTTCCTTCCGCCTACCCTATCCTTGGCAATTTATCTATATTGTCATGATACAGGGAATTTGGTTGTGATGTGAAAAACCAGTCAGAATTACAATAATTTTTACAGAGGGATGGAACATGGATAAGATTTCAGGCCAGCACTGGCTGAAATTCTTTTGAAAGGGGATTCTTAGGAAAGGGAATGTAGATTAGGAACTAGGAAAGGGGCACTGACAGTGGGGAAATATGGGGAACATGAAACAAGAAGGGTTGGAAAAGGAACATATCTTACATCAAGGGTTTAGACATATTCAGTACAGTTGTATCTGATTCTTGGAGACTGCCATTTTCTTGGCAAACTTTTTCAGAAGTGGTTTGCCATTGTCTCCTTCCTAGGGGGTGAAAGCTGATGACCTTGAGATTAGGAGTCACAGTCTCCTGGTTTCTAACCTTATGCCTTAACCACTACACCAAGTGCTATTCATCTTTTTCTTTCTTTCTCTCTCTCTCTCCCTCTCTTCCTCCCTCCCACTTCTCTCTCTCCACACATACACATGAAATAATGTTAGAAAATCAACAAAAATGAGTATAAATACCAAATAGGGAAGAAAACTGAGCATATCTGGCCTTTCAGAGATGAAGTTTGGGACATAGATGGGAAGATTCCTGATTTTTTATGATGTGCCATCAAGTTGTATTGATCCATAACGATCATATAGATAGAGCTTCTTCAAACTGTGTAGACAGACAAGAAAAATTAAGGATTCCTAGTTTTATTTTTAAAGGATACATTTCAATCTCCTTCTGTGCATTATGTTTTCCAATAGCACAATATTGATGTTTATCTTTGTTGTTACGCATGAGTTAACATCAAATCCCATGTAAATGATAAGATGTTCACCTTCTCCTAAATCATTTGCAAAGTCTGTGAAATATCCTCCTGAGATGAAATATGCCAATAAAAAAGCATATATACAGCTTGTTCTCTTAGTCTAATCTAAATCATCCTTAAATTATGCTTATGTCAGAGATACTCCTTGGATAGTTTTACGTTCCTTTGGAATTTAAGAAGTCTAAAAGCACAACATTCTTCTATCTACACATGCAATAAAAACTAAACATAAAAAGGAATATGATAAAGCCACAAAGGGTTCTCTTAACAGATTTTATTGATGTCAAGCTTGAATCCATTACACTGCCAGTTATCTGTGGCAAATAATAAGGAAACAAATATTCTCAGTAACCAAACCTTTTAGAGGCCAGAAGTAATATATATATCACCAATGGAGAACAATTCTGCTGAGAATAAAGAATGTGAGATTTCCAACATGATTCCTTCCAAAGATATGGGGATGGAAAGACCCAGAATTCTCAAACCCTACGGAAGACCAAATTAACTCCATGGGGCTTAGTCTCTCTCTCTCTCTCTCTCTCTCTCTCTCTCTCTCTCTCTCTCGCTCTCGCTCTCAGGCAAGGACAGGCAATCACCCCTGACAATTGGCCTTTTTGCAGCCAGTTGTCTAAAAACACAGAGAAACATGTCACCCATTCATGGAATTTGCAGAAGACTCCCCAAATTCTAAAACCCATGTGATGTTTAATGCAGTCCAAAATAGTTGTTTTGCAGACAAAGCAACTACATATGCTATAGTTCTTTGTGTTTCATCTTCATCAATGAAGGGCATCAGCAAATTATAGTTAGCAAGGCTACAAATTATTTTATGACATATTATAGATACTAGAGCTTGCGTAGTGCAACAACTATTCAGAAAAAGTGCTTTGACTATGAATACAGGGAGTCCTCAACTTACAACAGTTCATTTAGTGACTGTGTTACAACAACACTGAAAAAAGCTGACATGACCATTTTCCACAGTTACAACCTTTCACATCATCTCCATGATCATGTGATCAGAATTCAGATGTTAGGCAACGGGCTCATGCTTATCACCATTGCAGGCTCCCAGGATCATGTGATTACTTTTTGCAGCCTTCTGACAAGCAAGGTCCACAGGGGACCCAAATTCACGTAACAACCAGGTTACTAACTTACCAACTGCAGTGATTTACTTAACAACTTTGGCGAGAAAGGTCCTAAAATGGGGCAAAACTCACTTAATCAATGTCTCACTTAACAACATACATTTTGTCTCAATTGTGGTCGTAAGTTGAGAAGTACCTGTACAATATGCATGTACTATGAAGATGTCATTTTCCAATCGTTGTGTTTGTGTCAGTTACAGCAAGTAACTAGTAGGTGTAATAAAGTTTGCATATTGCTTCTGCATTTCTGTGGGGTGATATTCCTTATTATGCTGAGTCTAAAACACCCTGTACATTGGTAAGTCACATGGTGCAACATTTCTCTGATCTAAGGCTCCAGCTGAGCATTTAAAAAGCCCATTGAACTACAGGTTGCAATCTGAAAAAAAGCAACCTTGCTTTATATTATGAAGTATTTACTAATTTGACATTTTTGGGAAATGCTAAAAATATGCTGTCTCTAACAGAGCATGATTCTTTGGGGTGCGTCTGAGCATCAACAAAAGAAGAGTGCTCAGATACAACAAGAAATGCTTATGGCTGCAAATTTAAAGCATGTCTAATAATAGCCTTGCAGCCTTTTCATTGCATAGACTTGCACACTGCATTTTTATTGTTATCGCTGTTTTGCTTCTCTTCTTCCAAATAGCCTATCTTTTTCTGAGACATGTAATCCTTATTTCAGGTAGCAGAGAAGCAGCGTTCACCTATGCCATCATTGCTGCTGGAGTAGCCCATGCCATCACTGCTGCCTGCACCCAGGGGAACTTGAGCAATTGTGGTTGTGACAAGGAAAAGCAAGGACAGTACCACAAAGACGAAGGATGGAAATGGGGAGGCTGCTCTGCAGACATCCGATATGGATTAGGATTCTCCAAAGTGTTTGTGGATGCGAGGGAGATTAAGCAAAATGCAAGGACTCTCATGAATTTGCACAACAATGAGGCTGGGCGAAAGGTAGGCACCTTTGCTAAGCTCCTAATGAGGCCGAGCAAATTATTTTGTATTATGTATGTGCACGTGCTATGAAGGTAATATCACTTCCTATTTAACAAGGGTGTGAATTTGCATATCAATGGAACTGACTTTCAGGAAATTGTTTGTACCAGAGTTGATGTATCATAATAATAAAGCAGGAAGCAACAAGAAGAAAAACATATTCATAATGAAATAATATTTTGACATTCATCATGCATGTAGCGCAGTCATCAGATCTTTTTCTTCTGTCTTACTTATGACTTACTTATTACTCATAAGTACTGAGTGGGTCACATGTGTAAGATGGTAAGGTAAAAAGTGAGTATCAACTTCTTGCTTTTAAATAATAATTCTGTTTGGAACAATTCAATGCAGGGAATAGATCTCATGGTTAGAATGTACGTTTCTCATTCTATATAAGTAGCTGTAAAATTGGCAAGATGGGACTGAAAAAAAAAAGTTTATTTTATATCAAAAATAGTTCATCTTTACAAATTAAGAACCCCCCAAATAATTTCATAATTTGACGTTTTCTCAGAATGGTTCTCCAGAAATCTTTCATTTCTGACATATGACCTGTTAGCAATAGCACTTAGAGTTATATACCACTTCACAGTGGTTTACTCTTTAACAGAGTCATCATATTGCCCCCAACAATCTGACTCTTCATTTTATCGAATTAGCCTGAAATTCTTCATTCTAACCACTGCGACACCACACCTCCTGTTTCTTGGAAGCGTGGCACTAATGTCTTTTCCCCCAAAGATATAGCCATGGGAACATCCACCTGGTCTCTGTTACCACACACAAGGGTTAGGTTTTGTTAAACCGTGATCTTGATGATAATTATTTCTGTTTAATAAAATTTGAACATAGCAACTTGGGGACATCCTAGGAAGCTGAAAGGCCATTATTTAGGTCTTCGTATTATCTTTACCATTTGGTATTACTCCTGTGATGTTTTTCTGCCCTTATCTGGGAAAGATATCAAACTGAATGGAGATGGCCTGTGTACTACTAAAGTGGAACATGGAATTAGGAGCTTGAGACACAACTTCCAAGGATAAAATTTAAAGTAAAGCACATAAACCAGGAAAAAGACTGTTCCCCTATTATGAATGTATTTCTTTTACTATCAGTAGCCACTGTTATGAGTAGGTACAATGGTTATTTTCATGGGCAATGAGACTATCAATGATAATCAGTCATACTAATATATTACTTTTAGAAAATATGATTCTCAATGTCAGTTGCTGAGAAAGTGAGGAATTAAGAGCTGTATCAACTTCCCACTGGCATCCCAATAGGGAAAGCTTTTCTATCTATTTGCCATTTAAATGAAATGCAATTAGCAAAATTTATAATTTTTGGATGCTATTTCCAACTGACCTTCCCATGTGCATTTGTTCTAAATTCATGTATATTGCATGCCATGTAACATACAGGTTACATTCTACTTTGGATCAGGTAGAATGTAACCCATAAAAGCTAATGTTATAAAATGTTTGGCTGTAGAATTCCATAGGGTTTTTTCTTGTTAGTTTTACTGCAACGGGGATAATGGTATTTTCCCTTCAAAAGCAATACAATCATTCCCCCAAATAGACTAAAACTAATACTCTACTTAAATATTAATGGGACAATGCTCCTATAATGTCTGTGTAACAATAGCCTAACCACAATGTCACTGAAATGACAAAATGTGCATTTTGACACCTCAGTGCAAGCTCTGTCTTTATATGTTTTTTTATAACATAGTCAGCAAATATGTAAGGAATTTGTGTCACATGTCACAGTGCACCTTCTGCCATTTTATTTCCCTTACAGACATCTTTTAGAGTGGCACAATTGTGTATGTGAGATATGTTCATGCTGGGAAGCAAGTGTTTGAAACTGAATTCAAAGCATTGCATAGTGAATCTTCACACATTAAACATTTGTTGAATGTCATGTATTCTTTGCTGTATTCATGAAAGTTTCAGTAGAGAATTGGAGTCCCAGATTGTTGGTAGAAAAATTCTAATGCCTTGTAAAGGTGGGATCAGATCATTGATAGAGAATGCTTAAAATTCTACTCACAGTATTGCATGGCCAGCCTATTTTTATATTTAAAAAGATTCATACTAGCATTCAAAAATGCAGACTGTAATGCAAAACTGGCTAGTAGATACTGATACTTAAATTGCATTTTAATACTATTAATCTGAACATGACAACTTTCTCTTTCTAGAAGGCATTACTAGGGAAAATTGCATGTGTGCTGTACTTGGCCCTATAATATTTTCCCCACAAATTTAAAGGCTGTTTAGTGGGAAGATACTTATATACTTGCCCAATGTAGAGAAATTGAATTGATTTTGGAGTTGTTGGCAATTTCTTGCTTCTATAATCCACCTAGTCCAGACAAACTCATCTATGAAGAGATTAATAACTTTGATTCTTATTTCTGCTATTAAATAAAGGTTCACAAAATATAAACATTGGTGACATGGCATTTTTAAATTAGAATTTACTTCATGGATAATAAAATATTAAGTATAAAGATCATATCAAATTGCTATACCATTTGACTCTTTTCAGAGTATTTGATTTGCAATATGATTACATGCCAAAGACTTCTTTTGTTCTTGTTAAGGCATACCATAGTTATCACTGAGATTTGGAGAATTGCTTATTAGAATACTCTACAATCAAATTCCATTAGTGCAGTTTTAATATAATTACATTAACCATTATTTGGTGGTGATTTTTAATTATTGATTTCCATTTCAGTATTCATTTAAGGATGCTGGGATATCTTTACTCATCTGAGGATAATGCTATCTTAACCATATCTTTCCTAATCCATTATGAAAGAGTTGGTTAAGATAGTGAGGAGAAGAAAATATTTGACGAGCAGAAAAAGGCCAAGCAATTATTATATGAAGGTCATCATATGACACAATATCCAAGTTATTAGGCAGTCTTCATTTTCAGGTTGTGCTTTAATTAGTGCTGGAAAATTCTCTTTCTCTCTTCCCCCACCTTATTTTAATTGGATAGATAATCTACTTTGAATATTTTTGATGAAATATCATCAGTTGATGTGAGTTTCATCTGATTATTTGATTACTAGGGGGTGGAAGGGAAGGTGTGAGGAACTTTCTGTATTTCATGGTCAATGGTTTCTCAGGGAATATCCTTTCTTTTAGAATACTTTCCTTGTTACATTCCAGTAAGAGCAATATTAACAATAAAAACATTTTATGCCATCTACTACTTTATTGTGTATAGTAAAATAATCTAGGAAGAACCATATCAGATCAGTTCAAGAAAGTTTTTGTACTTTATCCTAGTTTAGTGCCCACTAGTTATCACTGAAAAACTTCAAGAAGGATATGAATTATTCAATTATTCAGAGCTATTCAATCTACTTATTTTTGTAGTATAATGAAGTGCAGTATAATGTGCATCAACTTGTTGACCATGAATCGATCAACATTCAGCTAATCAGCTTCATTGAAGGGTGTTATACACAAGTCTCTTGGCTTCAACAATCTGAACCTCAACAACATTCACCTAAAAGCTAGAGATCAGTTAAATTAAAAAAGTATCCAGTTGTTTAGCCAGCTAATGTTGGTCCTGTACAAAAAAAAGTATTATGGAATACTTTTGAAGATGCTCATTATCACAACACTAAGATACACAATCAACTTTCTTCTCTGTATCATGATCCTGCGATCTAGTATATAATGTGGTGTATAATCTAAAATAGAGAATCTGAGCAGATGGAAAAGGTGATACTGTAATTTTAAAAATTCAGAGTAATTTGTATTTACACCTACCTCACAATAAGTCCTATCTTTTTGTAGAAAAGAATAATATTTTTTTAAACTTAAAAAATTAAACCATCAGTAGGCATATGGCTGCAGTAATATGAGCTGATATTGATTAGCATGGCCATGGTAGCTTTGATACTGACATCAGGTTTGGGTTTATTGATGTTCTCAGCCTCTGTATTCTCTTGGTTGTCATGTGACACCCCATAAACTGTGAATCTTAAATTTGAACCATAGGACACATCCATAACTTTTCTTTAAGTATATTTTTTGTGCAATTCAGTAGATACTTCCCATGTCCTTGCTGTCTTTGTACTTTTACTATATAATATGTTTAAACTGTTAAAACTGAAGTATAACAGTTGTCATTTTGAATATTTTTGTAGCTCTCAGAAGGATGTTCTGCATGTTGCCTCATTTTGGCCATTGGCACCTTAGTTACTGTGGCAATAAAGCAGCAAGTTGTGAACTAAATCACTTCCAGTGCAGTTCTCAGCCACAAGGTGGCTGCTTGAAAATCACTTTGTGGTTAAGAAAAGCCTTGGCTTTTATCAAAGTCAACTTCCTTTTTAATCAAGGTCTTGTGAGAGTAGCAGAAGAAGTGTGTTATTTAATGGATACAGTAGACAAAACAGAAGAGTGTTTTCAAGCAGGAATTTTACAGAGTAAGAGCGTGTGTGTAAGAGTCAAAGCTTATTCAAGGAAAAACATTTAGTTACAACTACAGTATAAAGAAAGTGTACTCTTTCTCTCGCTTGTTTTCTCTTTTGTGACCTTGAAAATTAAATGAATGGAATTTTGCATCAGCATTACATCATATTACACATAACACCACATTATGAGTCATTGTGATAAATTACGACCCAGGCTGCATTAGAAGACTCCTGTAACCAAGGACTTATCAAGGTGGCTTTTTATTTGATGTACCTCTTCATTGCAGGACTTAGGTGATCTGACTTAGTAATCCTATCATGTCGTGTGCTGGGAGCCCTTTACATTTCCTTCAGCACTTGAATTGAAATCTCAGGCATCAAACAGTTGAAGCAAATACAACAAAGAACAATGCAATGTGCAGTTATCAAAGATGAGGTCATAACTTACAATAGGAATACACAGAAGTACCAATTTATTCTAAAGGAGATAAAAAAGTTAAGAGCAATC